GGCAGGCGCGGGCGCGGCGTGCGGGGGCCCCGGGCCGCCCTCGGTGTCCGCAGAGCCACGCTGCCGCCACTAACGCCAGCATTTGCATGCGTGTATTACGACAGAGTCATCCTCAACAGGAGACCAGCAGGCACCCCGCAAGCAGGTGGTGAGTAGAACTAGCGGGCGCTTGCTTTTCCTCCGCAAGGATTCCAGCTCAGAGTGAGGGCTGCTCATCGGTCCCATCTGGAGCGAGGACGCAAGCGAGTGGCCGCGCTCAGCCCAGACCAGAGACTCTAGCAGGCAGCTGTGTACGCTGGGCCAGGGAAGGACGCTCAGCCGGGACACGCCCCTCCGGACACTGCCGCGCGCACGGTGGGCTGGGACCACCGGGCACCTGAGACTCTTCGGTGGAAGAGCTCGCTAGGCCCAGAGCGCGTGGGCCGGCAGATGCTCTGCGAAGATTAAAGTACTACAAAGTACTTCCAGTTCACGGCAAAATATTTTAGACAATTTGTGGGAAAGTCCAGTGACCGGCACAAACGAAAACAGGACCACAAGCGCATGAAAAAGAGTCAGAGATTACAGGTTATTGTTTTTTCCCCTTTATTTCCTTTTGAGGAGTATGGGATGGTCCAGTCGTTTCCCCTGCCCCTCCCAGACATTTGTGAGCCTTCTGCAGGGTCTTGGAAAGTGCCCAGATGGTGAGATACCGCCACAGCTCCATACAAGAGTGATAATCAAGACGTCATAACCATGTATGAAATACAGAGACTAGGAGGTGAAAAACGGGGAGACTTGGTCTCACTTCGGAGGCTGAGATGGATGAGGACAAGTCCTGAGAGGGGCTGATCAGGGCAACTGACTACCTTTCCTCCCGCACACCCTCATTCTCCAAGTCCTCGGGAAGGTGGGCATCCTCTCCATCCCTCTATTTGGGGTCCATTTTCTGTAGCACGTGCCTAAGTTAGGTGTACTCTGTATCCTGAGGAACCCTGCATCTTGGTAGATAGTATTTCCTCTCTGCTGGCCCTGTGGTGTCTCATCTGTCGGATGAATTGTTCGCACCTGCCTGAAAGTGCCTAGCTCTGTATGTGCATCAGGTAATATCAGTGTTGTTGGAGATCAATGGGTGCAGCCAAATGTGACCCTTGAAGGCCCCTCCCCAGTTCCTCAGTTTACATTACTTGTCTGGGGTTCTGTGTCTTTCCTGTCAATGCATGCACATTTCTGCCCTTGTTCCATTAACACCCCTCCTTTCCCCACTGCACACCCCTCAGCCTGTGTTCTTCTACAGCTGCCCTATGGGGCCAGCATGCTAAGCTCTTGGGGTGGGCACAACTCCTCAGGAAGGGACACTATGGCTGGCCTGAGTCACCCACCCAATCTATCAGCAAGTCCTGTGAGTTCTGTCCCCAAAATAAATGCCAAAGCTGTCCATTTCTCTCTCTTGCACTACTGCTCCCACTACCATACCGTGCTTGAGTTTCAGCCACAGACCAATGAGAGAGCTCTAAATATAAATCATATCATGCTAGGCTCCTGCGTCAGTCCTGTCATACTTAGCAAGACCCTGTGTGTTCTGACAGACCAGTTTCTCCACCTCCTATCACCTGCCTGTTTCTTGCTGTCTGCACTCCAGCACAAAGCCACAGCAACCACCTTGCTGTGTCTCCCTCGTAACTCAGTCTCTGCACATACTGTTCCTTTCACCTGAATGCCCTCTCTGCTTTCTGGTGTTGGCTTGATCTTGGCCTTCAGATCTCAGTAAATGTTCCTCCTCAGTGAGACTTCATGTAGTCCTTCCCAGCACTCATTACCATCTATTAGCAGCTCCTGGTTTACCCCGTGTCTTGTTTCCCCACAGACCAAGCATGTCCTGAGGGCATGGCACCTTACCCACTGCCGTGTCCCCAGGGTGTGCATTCCCTGCAATAGGTGAACAGTTGTGGAGGAATGAGTTAGGACTGCAGCCAGGCATAAGGCAAGCCAGGCTGGAAATGGAGAATTCTTGCTCTTAGGTCAGGACTCTGAGATTAGAGCTTTGTCCCTGAGTAGAGGACGCAGTGGTGGTACATCTGGATGGCAACAGCCTGGGTGGATCTGCCTCTGAAGGCCTCCATGTCAGCCAGTCAGCCAAGCACCAGTCTCCTACCAAGTCAGCTCCTCATGTAGATCTTCCTGGGAGTTCAGCATATTGGAGTCAGATATCCTGGTCTTAGCCATGCTGCAGGGCAGGACAGAACATCCCTGTTTGAGCTCTGGTATAAAAGGGAGCCATGATTCCTAAAATGACAGTCGAGATGCCAGCTGGAAGTAATGTCTCCAACTCAAGGTATATGTGTGGGGGAGAGTGTTCTCAGGACAAAGGATGGTGCAGTGAGATTTAGTTTCCCCTACCATGGGAGGTTCTGTGCCTATAAAGCTTATAGGCTCTATTTCTGATAGCATTAAGAGAGATGGGAGATTCCCTGACCTATTACATGTTAACCACTAACAGATGGTTTATAATGATAAGTGATTACCTGGGTACAGTTATATATTTGTTCATGTATATATATGTGTGTGTGTGTATGAGTATGTGTGTACAGGCATACACATGTGCATACACACATATATAAATTAATGATGATGCAGTATCTGTATCAGAAAGGTAAACTATAAACATAGGAACAATTATGATCACTTTGGGCAGGACAATGAGAACTTTAGTGACCAGCAAGAGGCCTAGGGTAACTGGTGGAATTTTTTTTTAAGACAGCCAATTGAGCCTTCTGGAATCGTCCTAAGATTGAAGAGCAAATAAATCTATTCAAGAAAGTCAGCAACAATTAGGTAAGAAAGGTGAGTCTTTGGTATCTGAACCAAGGCTGCTCCTTCCCTCCCCATCACAGCTCAGGAAGGCACAGACACCACCGCATACTCCTGCAGCCCATGATGACACAGGGCTTTCTTTCCCATCCTGCCCCATTGCCAAAGGCTAAGTCAGTCAGTTGCCTGTTGCTAGATGAGAGGTGGCTGAGGCCCAGCCAACTCTTCTCTGCCAAAAGGCACAAGCCGAGAAGACCTTCAGCTACTGCTCCCCTTGTCCAATGGCTCCCAAGAGTGTCACTAAGAAGTAGTTTGCCCTTGTCCCCACCCCAGCTCCAGAGTTCCCTCTCTGGAGATTTTGCCCAAGGGAGAAGCAGGCTATAAAACAAATGGCTCCGAGTCTATTAAAAACTGGCCTAATTTATAATAGAGCATGGAAAAGTTGAAACCTAAAAGTGCTTTAAAGAATAATGGAGGCCATGGGACCAGCAAATGGCATAATAGTTACATCATTGGATTCCCATGTAGTTGACTGCTGTTTGAGTCCTGGACCCAGTGGCTTGAACTCATGCCAGGTGCATGTGCGTGCATGCCCAAGATCCTGAGAGAAGAATGGAGAGGCGACTGCGGTATGGCCATTCCCCTTGTGGGTGATTTCTTTCTTTCTGTCTCTCTGTCTCTCTATGTCTTTCTGCCAAGCACACCCACCCTATAGGAAAAACCTCTCTGAGAAAAAAAAAAAGAAGAATGGGGGCCCAGCCTGATGGCACAGTCCATAGTACGCCAGACTGCAATGCTAGAAATCATATGCTGATCACAGATCTGGATTCCCGGGTAGGCCTAAAAACATTCTGGCTGAATCTGTGGACACTTGCCACCTAGATGGGCAGGACGACTAGGGAAAGGAGATCATAGTGTGACAAGATCTTGTTAAGGGCGTTTTATCTCCCTCTCGTCTACTAGCTTTTATGAGAGAATAAGGAATAAAACAGCTAGGAGGATTCTTTCTAGGGTCAGAACAGATAGCAACTCTGACCTCAGAAAGTATTCCTTCAAATGAGCCAGAAGTCAATTGTATTACTTTGTACAGCAGTTTATGCTCTTGGACAATACTGACATAGCAAAGCAACCAACTGCCAGTTAGAAAATTTTAACAGTAGAATGCTGTCAGAGAGAGTGATAGAGAGCCTTAGTAGAGCCTCTGTCATTCAAGAATGGTATGGGCAGGCCCAAGCTATGCCTCTCCAAGGAGCAACATCAGAGGATTATCACAGTGTTAAAGTTAGTAGACGTCACTAAAATAGGCTACCCAGTTACTAAATAAATAAGCAAATAACAATACAAGTATGGTGGACGAGTAGTACTCAGAGTTGTTACAATATGTGTTCTAAAATGTTCAGTTTCCAATAAAAATGTATGAAGTGTATAAAGGAATAGGAAAATTATGAGCCATACATGGAGGAAAAAGCAGATGGTAAAAATTTTCTATGAGACCGACCAGATGAAAGATTTATCATAAGTATGTTCACAAAACTAAAGGAAACCATAATTAAAATAAGATATTATAAGGACCAGCAGTTAGCATAATGGCTATGATGCTGGACTCCGATGTAGTCGACCGTGGTTTGAGTCCCAGACCCAGTGGCTTAAACTCACACCGGGAACGTGTGCATGCGTGCCCAAGATCCCGAGAGGAGAATGGAGGCGAAGGGATTGTGGCGTGACCATCCCCCCTAAGGGGTGATTTCTCACTTTCTGTCTCTGTCTTCCAGGCAAGCGCATGTGCCCTATAGCAAAAACCTCTCAAAAAAAAAAAAAAGAAAAAAAAGGTATTATGATAATGTCACATCAAACAGAGGATACCAAAAAAAGGGATATAAGTTATTATTAAGAAAAAAACAATCAGCGTGGGGTAATGATTACGTAGCTGGACTCCCACATGGCCAACTGTGGTTCAATACTAGACTCGGTGGGTTCAAACACACTGGGCACGTATGTGTGTGTGCCCAAAATCCTTAGACAAGAATAGATGTGAAGGGATTTCAGTGTGGCCATCCCTCCTGGGGGTGATTTCTCACCTTCTATCTCTCTGTCTCTCTGATGAGTGTGCACACCCTATAGCAAAAATCTCTCTCTTAAAAAAAAAAAAGAGTCAAGTGGAAATTCTGGAGTTGAAAAGTATAATGACTGAAATAAAAGGGCTCAACATAGTTTTGACCAGGTAGAAGAAAGAATTGGAAAAACTTGAAGATAGACTGGTAGAGATTATGCATGCCAAAAAACAGAGAAAAACTACAGAAAAAATTATGAATGGAGCCTCAAATGTTGAACACCATTAAGTGAATAAACATATGTAATGGCAATAACAGAGAGAAGAAAGAAAGGAGAAAAAAAAATATTCAAAGAAATCATGGCAGAAAACTTGAAAAATTTATTGGAAAATGTACAGGAAATTCAACAATTTCTAGGTCAAATACACACAGACACCTACAAACAAATCATAGTAAAAATGCTGAAAGTAAAAGACAAGGAGAAAATCTTGAAAGCAACAAAAGAAGAGCAACAAGCAGTGTATATCTTCTAAGGGCTTCCCCAATAAGATTAACAACCGACTTCTCAGCAGAAACTATATAGTACAGAGGCAGTGGGATAGCCCATTGGAAATGCTAAACAACAAAAAACCTTGGGACCAGCAGTTAGCATAATGGCTATATCTCTGGACTCCCATGCAGTCGACCGTGGTTCAAGTCCTGGACCACAATCCCTTCTTCTCCATTCTTCTCTTGGGATTGTGTTTAAGTCACATAAACACATACCCAGTGTGATTTTCAAGCCTTCAGTTCTGGGGCTCAAACTGTAGTCAGCCATGTAGGAATCTAGCACCTTAACCCCTATACGTCCTGCTGTCCCTATAGTTGGAGACTTTTAATGACTAACTTTTAATGGTGGATAGAACTAGACAGAAGATCAGCAAGGAGATAGAAGAACAACATTATGAGCCAACTAGACTTAACAGAAATTTGTAGAACATATCGTCCAACAAAAGAACATACACTTGTCTCAAGTGCATGTTGAACATTTTCCTAGATAGATCATATGTCAGGCTAAAAAAACTCAGTGAATTTAAAAGGACTCAAATAATGCAAAATGTGTTCTCTAAGTTTAGTACCTTGTGAGAATAAGAATAAATAAAGAGATTAAATGGGTAAACAAAAGCTACCTATAAAGAAAAGCTCAGTCCCAAATGGTTTCAAAACTGAATTATACTGAACACTGAACAAAACAATTAATACTAGTTATTTACAAACTCTTAAAAAATAAAAAGAAGAGAACACTACTCAACTCATTTTACTGTAATACCCAAATCAGACAAAAACTTAACAAGAAAACTACAGATCAGTATCTTTTATAAATACAGAATCCTTAACAAAATCCCAGAAAACTAAATTCAGCAAAGTATTAAAAGAATTATACACTTTTACCAATTGGGCTTTATCCCAGGAATGTAAGTGTGGTTTAACATCTGAAAATCAATTAATGTAGTAGACCAGATCAGTAGAATAGAGGACAAAAATTGCCTGATCATCTCAATAGATGCAGAAAAAGCACTTAACAAAATCCAGTACCTCTCATGATACTCTATGCCTAGAGTATCAAGTGGTCTAATAAACAGCATCTGCTGAAACCCTCAGCTGATACCATAGTGGACGGTTAGTGATGGAAACTGGATACTTTCTTCTGAGATCAAGAACAACACAAAGATGCCCACTTTCACCACTTCTAACTTGGTTAGAGGTTCTAACCAGGGCATTTAGATAAGAAAAAAGACATAAAAGACATCCAGATTAGAGGGGAAAAGGTAAAGCCATCTCCCCTTGTATATAGAAAATATGAAGAAATTCACCAAAAAGCTACTAGAACTAATGGGTTCAGCCCAGTTATAGGATATAACATCAATATACCCAAATCAATTGCATCTCTATACACTTGAATGAACAATCTGAGAATAAAATTAAGAAAATGATTCCATTCATCATAGCTGTGTTAGTCCACCCAGGCTGCTATAACAAAGCACCTGGCTGGCTCAAACAACAGGAATTTATTTTTCCACATTCTGGGAGTGGGAAGTCCAAGACTAAGGAACTGGCATCCAATAAGGCCTCTCTTCTTAACTCATAGATAGTTCTCTTCTCATTGTGCCCTCATCTGTACTGTCCTGTGTTTGAGCATGGGAGAGCTCTCTGGTATCTCTTGCCAGTCCTATCAGAGAAGACCCTACGCTTATGCCCTCATTTAACCTTAATTACCTTCTTCAAGGCCTTATGTCCAAATACAGTCACATTAGTGGTCAAGGCTTCAATATATGAATTCTGGGGGGACTTAACTCAGTCCATAAGAAGTATAAAAGCAAATAAAATAACTAGCAATAAATTTACCAAAAGTAGTACAAACTTATATTCTGAAAACTATATAACATTGGTGAGAGCTATTAAAGAAGTTTTAAATAAATGGGGAAAAAAATCCCAGGTTCGAGCCAGCCCCATGGCCAAATGTCCAGTGTAACCACATGGTGTCCCTACCTGCCCATCTGTTACTTAGCTGTAATTTTGGCTATCAGATTGACTGTCGTAGTATTGCATTGCTTGTGTTCAAGTCACCTTGTTTTATAGATTAATTTATAAATTAAACTTTATCATAAGTATGCATATAGAGGAAAGACTATATGGAGATCAGAAGCATGATCACGAATCACAAACCCTAGTGAAGGCAGTAAACAAAGGCAATATAAAACCAGAAAAATAAAGAGAAGGTAGAACTGAGAAATTCTTCTAAAACTGAAAAGAAAAACGATAAAAACAGTAAAAGTGATGAGAGATTCCAGGGACAGAAACTGGAAGTACAATCTGGGAAAGCAGACCTTTCAGAAATCTGAAACGGGGGACCAGCAGTTAGCGTAATGGCTATGTCGCTGGACTCCCACATAGTCGACCACGGTTCGCGTCCTGGACCCGGTGGTTTAAAACTCACGCCGGGCGTGTGTGCGTGCATGCCCAAGATCCCGAGAGAATGGAGGAGAAGGGATTGAGGCATGGCCATCCCCTCTGGGGGGTTATTTCTCGCTTTCTGTCTGTCTCTCTCTGTCTGTCTGGCAAGCGCACGCACCCTATAGCAAAAACCTCTTAAAAAGAAAAAGAAATCTGAAACAGAACAGCTGGAGTAGAGGCAATAATTAGAGAAAGAAAAGAAATTACTCCTACGTAAAATGGAGACCCACACTGATTCCTCATTAACCTGACAGACAGAAAAGTGGGAATTTTCACTATTTTTTTTTAAAACAGGAATCTGAGATACAGGGAAGTAGAGGGGCGTGCCTAATTTCTCACCCCAATTCTAGGTGTGGCCAAATCAGGGCCCTGACCTCTGATCTTCAGCAGTGCCCTGGGTGCACACATGCCAGGCATCATGGAGGTTTTAAATTTTTTTATTCTGCAATAAAATCATCTGCCAATGAACTCAAAAGGTATTCTGAGATAATAGGGATAGATGATTATTAAACTCTAAATATGAAAGAAGGTGCTGACTTCAATGGACAAAATCAGCTATGAAGGTTATCTCCAGTAAAGGCTACTCTCATCTAGTAACACCTTCTTCATGAGCCTCTAAATAATTCCATGACTTTATGAAGGGCTCATGGAAGCAAAAAGACTCTTCCAGCAGCTGTCAAACACCATTTCATAACTTTGCTTACTGTCAGTTTCACAACCTATTTAGAATAGAATAAAAGTCCCCTTCACAATGCAGCCTAAGCAGTACATTTGTGATGAAACACAATCACGTCTTCCTGCTAATCTGAGCAGCCATCTCCCCCAGGGACCAGCACCCAGCATACACAGAGGCAGACTCAGAGCTGAAAGCTCAGAGGCTGCTTGAGAGCCAACCCTTTAGCATGGTCTATACAAACTAAAGGTCAGGGCTGACCACCACGCTCCCACATCATCTGCCTATCCTCCTTGGACTAACAGAACCAAACTGCTGACAGCCAATACCCACCTAACCGAGCACTTCTCTAGCATGGAAAAAGTTCATGTTTGACTAGCATAGCTATTTTTCTTTTTCAGCTGCTTAGAGCTTTGCCGTTGTTTGCCTTTTCTAAACACCAGATTTGGCCTCACCCACCAAATCTGGCCTCTCCTCCAGCCAATTGAGTACTTTTAGATGGTAAGGTTGCTATCTAATATAGCGCGCATCTGCTTAAGACCGCAACCCAACATCTATCTTTCCACCAGGAGCCCTTGAGCATTTCTCAGCACATCCAGCCCCTGCTGGGTTCAAGAAAGCTGATAGCTATGCATGAAGAGGGTCCATCCTGGCTTTCATGTGGGGCCCAATTCACTGTAGGCACAAGAAGTCAGCCCTTTTATGGACAAATATGTGATGCAGTGCTGTTTGCTACAGTTTTGGGACAGGGACTCATCTAGACTACCATAAAACTCAAGGAAGAAGAAAAAACCCAAGTCCATCAGTAGCTTTGAGACAACTCACCACCTGACTATTTCTTCCACAGGTTATTCCTGTGATAAGACGGAGGGAGAGTCAGCAGTTCTGCTCCGAATAAACTAATAGAGCCAGGCTTGGGGATTCAATAATGGAATCTAATCCCAAGCTAAGAATTCCTCTGGGTACCGAGCATGCCTTTCTAACTGAAGGAATGAGACAGTTGCTTGCCTCCTCACCCTCAGTCCACTTCTGCCAGACAGACAGATGTAGCCACTAACAACTCACTTCTTTCTCTTACCAGGGTACCAGAGTATGCAACAAAGGAGAGAGTCAGGTAACTCACGTGTGTCAGGCACGTGCTCTGGCCAGCTCATGTAGTTCAATACCATTGGGGCACTCTGGGAGAGAGGATGGCTTCTTCTGAGGACATTGAAAGACTCTGGGGAGGCAATGATCATCTTCCTCCAATCCTAGGAAATGAGGAAAGAGCAGAGTGTAAATGAAGACAGAAATGACCGGTTGCCATTGCCACCTCCTATCTTCTTTGTTCTTTTCTTTATGAGAAAGATCTGCCAAGAAAGAGGGAAAAAGGACAAAGACAGAGATACTTACTTTTTGAAAGGGTCTCACCCTGGCACCATCCTTCTGCCCCAGTTTCCTAGGATTACAGGTATATGCAGCCATGTGCAGTGTATTTGGATTGGCCTGGGGACGGAAAGTGGGCCTTTGACACAGCTCCCAGCCTCCCAGGCAGAGATGCTATCTATGCACCATTTCGTCTGGGCCCCTCCTAATTTTTATAATTGTCCAGGACCTTCCCTGTGAGCAGACCACACACCCTAATTACATACATCTCCATTCCCACCAAAAGCCGTGAGGAAAATTTCTGGAGTTTGTGATACGCAATCTGGATGGCAACACATGACAGCCTGGCCTGATAGGCTGTCATTCAGTGATGTGAAATGAGGGCTGGTGAGCTCTTCAGATCCCCAGACCTCCCCAGCTGGTCAGACACACACCTGATAGTTCCCCAAAGGCAAGACTGTTCGTTTTAGCTAAGGCATGCCCTTTTTGGAGGTACTTAATTAAAATGCAATCCACAAAGTCAGGGATTTTGAAACAGACACTACCCTTCCGATGGTAATAGCCAATCTCCGTGGGGTCTTGGGAAGGCAAGTAATACTGTCCTTTTCTTTTATTATCGCACAGTCCAGAGATAAACTTGACCTGTCTTTTTTTTTTTTTTAACCTTAGAAGGTTATCATATTAACTTAAAACTGTGGTATATATTCAAATAAATGTTTATTACCTTTCCTTTGGCTTTTGTATTCCTCACACTATTAAGTAAACAGTATTTAAAAAATTCTTTTAGTGGGACCGGCAGATGGCATAAAGGTTATATCGTTGGATTCCTACATGGTTGACTGTGGTTCAAGTCTCAGACCGGTGGCTTAAAACTCATGCTGGGCATGTGTGTGTGCGTGCCCAAGATCCCGAGAGGAGAATGGAAGAGATGGGATTGCGGCATGGTCATCCCCACTGGGGTGGGGGGGGGAGTATTTCTCACTCTCTCTCTCTGTCTCTCCAGTGAGCACACACCCCCTATAGAAAAAATTTCTCTCAAAAAAAAAAAAAAAAGCTTTAGTGATTTCTGCAAACAATATGCAAACAAGGATAACAATGGAGTAGCATATTCCCCCTATCTCTCCCATTATACATCACCCCATCTCTTCCACTTGAATGCAACTATTGTAAAAACGTGAGGCAGAAGTATAGATCTGAGTACTCTGAAAGTAAATGGTGGCAGGTAGACTGGAGGAGGAAACCAGGGTTTAAAGTTAAACTAACCCAGTGGTGCTATGGTTTGAGGGTTCTGTCCCCCTAAATTCATGTGTTGACACTTGGTTGTGACGGTATTAAGGGGAAACTTAATACCTGATGGTGTAGAAAGGGGAGGTCTTTAGGAGTGATTAAGTGATTAGTGTGGAGCCCCTATGACTGACTCCTGGAGGATTTTTAAGGAGAGGGAGAGGGACCAGGAGACAGAAATGAGCACACAGAGACACACACACCTGTTCTCTCATGATGTGATGCCCTGTAGCCTGTTGGCCTGGGGATCCCACCAACAGGAAGACCCACCATAGGTGGCCCCTGGACCTTGGGCCTCCAAATCATAAGCTGAATAAACCTCTGTTTATCTAAACCACTCAGTTTCAGGTATTTTCTCTTATTAGCAACAGATCAGACTACAGTATATTTCCTGTTTTGTTGTTCCTGTACTATATCCCTGGTCTGAACTCAACAGTGGCTTGAAACTGGGTATAGACAAAAAGGACTCTAAAAGAAACCCTCTCTGATTTGAAGAGAGGGAAAGGAACTCCCTGCCTCTGAGGGAATGGGGGAAATCCTGTGTATTTGGATGCTGTTTTCTTCTAGGCCTTTCAAGCAATTGATCACACAGACACCTAAAATTCTGAGGGATGAGAATCCTCTCTGACCAGAGGAAATTCCAATGAGCATGGGGGGATAATCCCTGTTTTTCTTTCTCTATCTTCCTGCCATTTGACTCCAGAGACACAGTAGCAGGAAGTGTATGGTGGAGTAAGAAAACAAAAACCTCAGCTTTCTAGTGAAAACTAAGGGCAGCAGGGAAGCAACTGGAAACCAGGGAGTGTCTGGATGAATGCAGACGGGAGGAGCTCAAGAAAATAATCTCATAATGCTGTGTGTGAACTCCTGCACTTGCACCCAAATTGTGCTTGCATGGATCGGACCCTAGATAGTATACTAAAGTCTTTATGAACTGAAATATGGAGTTGAACAGACTGGCCACTGGGTGAGCCACGTTATCTAAGTGGCACTTCAAACACCTCACAATGTGAACTGACATAAGAGTCTGGGATTGTGTAGTCAGCCATATGGGAACCAGCTACCTTAACCACCATACCACCTGGCTAATCCTTGAGTTTTATTAGTATCAGACCAAACCAACTGCAGAGCAGTGAAAACCACCAGGGATAAGAAGGATGTAATTAAAGAATAAATTCACTAAGAAGAGATAACATTCCTAAATGTCTATGCACCTAACCAGACTTTCAAAATATATGAAGCAAGGGCCAACCACGTGGCATGGTGGTTGAGGCAGCTGGATCCCATGAGGCCAACTTGTAGTCAAGTCCCAGACCCAGTGCTTGCTCCTTTTCTCTCTCTCCCCCTCTTTGTCTCTCTCTGGCAAGTATACATGCTCTATAGCAAAATTAAATAAATAAATACATTTTAAAAAAAGAAATATTAAAACAAAACAAAAAATATGAAGTAAAAATTGATAGAATTTAAAAGACAAATAGAAAATACACAATTATGGTTAGAAAATCCAATACTTTTATCTTAGTAACCAGTAAAACACAGAAACAAGAGAATATATGATGTAAACATCAGCCACAACCTACTGCTAGATTTGAGATTTGTAGAATAGTCCACCCATTAATAATAGAAAACACATTTTCAAGTGCCCATAGAACACTCACCAAGAGACCAATGATAATGATGATAACAACAATAAACTTAAATTTAAAAGTATGGAAATCAGACATCTGCACAACCACATTTATTGCAGCATTATTTATAATTGCTAAAACATGGAACAACCTAAGTGTCCAAAAAATGATGAATGGGTTGAAAAACTGTGATTATATATATATATATGGAGTGGATCAATGTGGATGCTAGTGACAGTAAGTGGGGAAAGTGGTTGGTAGAGAGTAGGAGGATGGCAGGTGTGAAAAAAGAAAGAAGATTATACATGATAAACTTTTGTTTACAAGGAAAAGCAAATCAGAACCTTTTTTTTTGTATTGTCTGAAGTTATTCACAATAGTGTGTATTTGTTACTTTACCTATCATCAAAAGAGCACTTTGCCTAAAAGAAAGGACTAGCGTGCAAAATGTTGACAATATTCTGTGAAACTGTAATTTATCATTAATTTGTATCTGTAAGTTATTGTTATAAATATCACCTGTATTTTTGATACATGTGAAATTACAACTGAAATTTATTTTGCCAATGTCTTTGAGTGAATTGAATAAAATTTTTGTTGGAAAAGGAAACACCGAAAGAATAAAATAATTTTTTCAAAATAAAATCACCCATTAATATTGATGACAATTTTTATTATATTTGTAAACATATATAGCTAGTAAGCTGTATTTCTTCATAGCTTGTAAAAAAATATTGAAATCAAAGTATTCTTCTCTAACCACAATAAAATTAAGCCAGGAATCAATAGTAGGTAATTGGGAAAGCCTTACCTGCCTAGAAATGAAACAACACATTTTAGGATAATCCACATAGACAAATGACTACTTCAAGAACTGTGATGAGGGTTCTGATTTTTTGACGTACTCTCTGTAACTCCTGGTGTTCTGACTCTTTCATGCTACGTTATTATTCTTTGCCTTTTTTAATGCTCTTGCTAATCATACCTGCAGTTTATCCTTTTGTATTTACTAGTAGAAAACTACCAGACCAGTATTGACTCAACTCATATATAGCCTCCATTTTCTATTTTTCTCTTAGTCTTCCAAACCTTTTATAATTGCAATCTTAAACTTGGAATTTTCTAGAAATCTACTTTAAACCTGGTTGCAGGGAAACTGGACCCTGTATATATGTTCATGTAAGCCAAATTACAATTCATTTTAATTTTAATTAGTTAATATTTTAGGCTTTTGTCTTAGGGCATGAGCACTCACTAGAGAGAGACAGAGAGGGAAGGAGATGGCCACTCCACAATCCCTTTTCCTCCATTCTCCTGTCAGGATTTTGGGCATGCATATACATGCATCTGATTTGATTTTCAAGTCATCAATCTGGGACTCAAACTGTGATTGACAACGTGAGAGTACAGCACCATAATTTTTTTGTCAGAAGGTGAATGTACATGAGAGAAAGAAACCCTGGGGCCTGGCCACTCTGTCACCTACCATATAGGCCATGTTCCTACCATGCCTCAGCTCCTCCCTAAATGGTGTTTTCTTTTAAGTAGGAGGATGCATGCTAGTAGTTAAGGTCTTCACTAAAAATTCCAGCCAGAACCAGTTGGAACCAAGATGGTGCCTGGACTGAAAAAAGCCTAACCTTCAAACTCACTAAACCTTCATGGTACAGCATTAGCATGCTAGACAACACACCTACCAGCACCATGACTATTTATTTACTCTCCATGATTATGACTGGAAATGATCATATAAAGAGAAAAAGGAGGCAGGTTTTGAAATTCTGGGATGTTCCTAACATTTTCAGAAAAGGTGTGAATATTCCTTTCTGTTACCCTATCCCATCTCCTCATTACCCCATTAGCTATATCTTAAAATTCCCAGCTCAGTTTTGCAGACGCTGGCTGCTCAAGTCTCTGACCCTCAACCATGGTCAACCCCACCGTGTTCTTTGACATCGCTGTTGATGGCAAAT